GTCTAGCCAGATTTGTGAGATAGAGCTGGGGTCATAACAGTCAGTGGGAGGAAGAATTAAAGAACTAGAGGAGTGTTTCCTTGGTGATATACTTTACCCTGGCTGACTTGTTCCTTCCTTGTGACCCTTCTGTGAGGGGGTGTCCAGTTGTCTACAGGATGGACTTTGGGTCTCCACTCCCACCCCCCTGGTTCATCACGATAGACTTGCTTGTTTGGATCTTCAGATACCTGATACCTGATCCCGTTGACACCTGATGATAGCTGGGGTCTTAATAGAAGATCACCAGGTCTTTCTTCTGTGGTACCACAAAAGGTTCAAACCACCAAGATTTAGGTTAGTCGTTGAGCAAACTCTTGGCACTTCTCCGGGACCTTTCTCTTGGAATGGGGAGCGGGCAGTGCCCGGAAAGATCTAAATGTCAGCTTCTCCCATTCTTTCAGCCAAGGTGTGTGTTCTAAAGCACTGACCAGCCATAGGGCGTTTAGAAAAGAGGTACAGAGGCCAGAATGCCTGGCACAAAGGCTGGGAAAACCATGTGGACCATGAGGACTAAAGCGATACTGTGTTTATTTGGCCAAGTCTGTCATGCCTCAAGGCCCCACAGCCAGTTTTGCAAACTACCTGGGAGCCATCAAGGCCAGGAGAGTGGGGGAGAAATAGAGTCCAGGAGATAAATAGAAGGTGCTTCAAACAGAGAGGGTTCTGGAACAATGTTTGAAGAGAAACATAAAAATTTACACACACATACCCCCCACCCACCAAAATAGACTTTGAAGAACTTCATACATAAAAATCTATGCTTAAGAGACAGTCAAAGCTTATTTCAGCTTTCCCCCTGCCCAGCAAGAGGTGCATAATCAGCAGTCTTCCAGTCAGAATGCCCACTTTCTTCAGACAATTACCAGGAAATAGATGATCCTAGGCATGCCCTCTGTCTCTAAACAAAAGGAAATGGACACACCTATCTTGTTCCAATGGCATTCTCTGTGGGCTCCCGGTTTCCTCTTAGTGATTCTGTGAATTAGCATTGCTGAGATCGGCTTCTTCTTTAACTTGGAGGAGTAAGATACTCACCAGGGCAAAATCTCCATCTCTCATCCCTCATGATGCTTGCTAATCAATTTAACCAGAGCCTTTTTTCTGGAGGCAGTGCTACTATGCACAATCCTTAATCTCAGTTTACTTGGCATTCAGCCTTCTGTAGGGTCCTGATGTCTCCTGGACGCTAAACATCTAGGATTTTGCATTATCCCACCTGTACCCCAGTTTCATCTTTCGCAATATGGAAAGACTCTGTACTTCGGAGGTGAGCTCTTTAAACCTTGAGATTGGGGGAAAGGGAGAGCAAGAGTAATTTTGAATACTAACACCCATCTGCCAGTTGGTTATACTGTAATATTGAAAGCCATTCCTCTGGTATTTCAAGTAACCAGTAGGGTCACCTGTTACATAGCAAGATAGGAGGTGGTTGCTCTCCATGCCTAGGGTTCCCCTACAGGAAGTTGGAATTCGATAAAGGGCATGTGCCAACTCAGGGCCTGAGCCAGGGTG